GAAAATAAGTCAACACAGCTATGAAATATAGCTATCTTGGGAACAAAAAAGTAAAGAATTTAACTGAAAACATAGTTTTTTAAAAAGTTCAACTTGAAAGCACATTGAGTGAAATTAAAAAGTTAAAGATGAAGGCCACAGATATGGAAAATCAAGGACAAACATCACACATATTTTCAAAGTTACTAAAGAACAAAATAGTGTACTTTAAATATAATTTTAAAACCTCTTGTCATAAAAACAGACTCTACTTCTCAGATATTAAGAGCAAGATCCAAGAGAAAATGAAACAGAATGACAAAAAGTAAGACAATCGATGAAGTTCCTGAACTTTCAGGTTTAAAATAATTGTTCATTAGCATCCTGGACAAAAAAAGAAAAACAAGAACAAGTGAAAAGATCAGTTTGCTTCAACCTTCGCAGTGACACCAAACGCGAGATGACAGGGAAGCCATGTATTCATATTTCTGAGTGAAGTAATAATACTTCACAGCTTTGATCATTACAATTAAGAATCATAAAATAAATGTGAATAACCTTAATTTTAAAAGAATGGTAAAACAAAAAGAGGAAAAAGGGAATCAGGAAGAAACTTCATTAATTTTCCCATCTTTCTAACAAAAAGTCAAAAGATTCTGTTTAAAGTTAAATTCAGTCATTTCAAAAAACAGAATTCAAAGTTTGGGGGTTTTTTTATTAACTGTTAATAATATCATTTTGGTAAAAGGATATTAATATGAAGTTAATCAAGTCCTTAAGCTTAAATTCAATTCCGATTTTTTTCATTCCATTGGAAGCAAACTACTCTTTATAAGAGATGCAAAGTATAAATATGATCTTATTTTTAAAAAAATGTTTCTAATTATTTGTATGTATGTATACAGAGAAGTTATAAATAATGTTCACCAAATATTATCAGAAGATATGAGGCAGGGAGATGATGCGGCTTTGCATGCTTTAATGGTTTTAAAATGAACAACGCATCATCTTTTCAAATAATGAAGGTATTTCTCTCCTTCAATAATTCCATAATCTTTCCCAAATCTCTGTATATCATTTTGTCCCCATTTCCCAGATAAATGAGATCCCCAAAATTGAAGTGACTTGACAGAAAAAGGAGTGACCCAATTCAAGACGATATTTTAATAAATACTATGATACACCTACTAGTTGGTATCACTATCAAGTCTATTGATGTGGCTCAATAAAAAAAAAACTTTTAGTAATATTATATATGCCTGGAAATAGGATGAATGCAACATGAACTAAGAAATTCTAAGGCGTACTCAACATAACACTAATGTAGCCAACAAAGTCTTACAGATAGTAGCCATGCACCAAGTACATGTTAGAATTAATCACCTTTGACGGCACTTCGATTTCTGAAAATGTCTGACTTTGTGATGTGAAATCATATAATGTCATGAATCTCTCTTACGCCAAAAATCAAATAATATCAATACCATGCACACTTTCAGAACTTGACAGCTTTAAATCTTTTTCACAAATATGTCCTTTTTCCCTACCCATAGCAACTCTTGAAATGGGCAGGACAGGTGTTATTAGTTCCTCTTTGCAGATGAGAAAGTTAGAATTCACAAGCAGAGGGCACTGGGGTCCCAGATCAAACAGACAAATAATTGCAGAGCTAAGGCCTGCCTCTTTTTGATTCCACTTTTATTGTCCAGGCAACTACCCTACATACACTTACAGCAGCCAATGCTAACAATCCATTTCATTTACATTAATTGCAGCTTTTGGAGCAGCTATGGCTACTTAGTTCAAAATGGAAGAAAAGCTGGATTGCTGCTATTACAATCCCTCTATCCTGTGCAAAGAAAGAGCCTTGGAACTTGGAAAAGAAATGTAAAGCAACCACAAGCTATACAACCATCACTATGAAATAAACCCTTTTTGTGTGGCATGAAATCGTTCACATAGAGGCTTGCTCTTGTTCTCTTGGTTTCCAAATGCATAAAGTAAAAGTCACCCCACTGCTAATGCTGGGTGGTTAGGCAGCTGTTCATCAGAGGTAGTCGCAAAGCAAAGTTTTAATGTGAACTCTGATAAGCCGGACTAATGTATATGTGGGGTGGGTATGTTCTGAACACCTGCTCTAAGCCAGCTGCTGAGAAGCACTGGGTAAACATACTGAAATGGCTGCGGGGGAAGAAAAACGAAGCAAAGCAAGGAGCCAGGTCCACAACAAGCCACCATATTCACAGAGAGGATAACTGCTGAAATACGCTGAAGCATGTATCCACCAGACTTTATGCTGGTGTTTGTGAGCAGGAAATAATGGACAACGGGAATCTTTTTAGAATTTATTTGTCGTTTTCTAAAGGCAGATAGCAAAGGCACAAATCCAAGTGCAGTGAAGCTGAGTAAAGGAAGTAACTTAAGAAAGAAGTAAAGAAAAACTTAATGCAAAAGTTGTGTTTTTTGTTTTGTTTTGTTTTTGTTTGTTTGTTTTTAAGGACAGGACAGATGAAGACTGCTCCTGAAAGTAAAACTCTCAGTATGGACACAACAGAAATTTTATAAATCCCAAATAGGCTATTTAAATTTTAGAACCTAAGCAGAAAGGCACAGCATGATATTCCGTGGCTCTTGGCAGGATTTTGTCACCACTGGCAAACTGGAAACATACAAAACCGTTGTAAAAGCCATATTCAAATCCCTTTTCAATTATGTATACTATGGCAATGTAGCTTCCACTGCTGACATTTTAAAAACTTCATCTTAATATTGACCTTGTCAATGTATTTGAAATATAAAAAACATAAATTTTCAAACTCTGCAATTTTCTCCCTGAATCAGACGTTACTAAAACTAACAGCATCTGATTCAAGCAGACTTAAAAACAAGCATTAATGTATTCTCTGTTCAAAGGCATCTAGAATGGATAAAATATATGAAAAATCATTTTTAAACAGGCAGCAGTGAGGCTGGGTACAGTGGCTCATGCCTGTAATTCCAACACATTGGGAGGCCAAGGTGGGAGGATCACTTGAGGTCAGGAGTTCAAGACCAGCCTGGCCAACATGGTGAAACCCCGTCTCTACCAAAAACACAAAAAATTAGCTAGGCAACATGGCACGCACCTGTAATCCCAGCTACCTGGGAAGCCGAAGCAGGAGAATCATTTGAACTCAGAAGGTAGAGGTTGCAGTGAGCCAAGATCGTGCCACTCTACTCTAACCTGTGTGACAGAGCGAGACTCCATCTCAATGGGACAAACACATTAAATTAAATACTCACTGCTCCTTTCTCCTTAAAGACTTCTGAACTCATGAATTATGAGCTATAAGGCACAATTGTTCAGAATGAATCACATATATTACAGTCAATCATAATATTTTCAGGGTTTATCTTCAGGGTAACTAGTAACACAATGATTCTTTTTGCCATCATCTTCAGTTGTCATAACAAAAATTAGTTACAGCATAATGACACTGCCAAAATTTATAAACCTACAAAGCTAACATTGATCTTTTCAAATATAAAAATTTGATGACAACTAAACAAAAACATAAATACTATCTCAACATCACTTCTAAAGGAAAGGGATAAATACATTTTGCATGATAAGTAAAGAACATTTCCATGTTTATATAGAGAAGAGAAAAGAAAATTTAAATTTACTACCTTCGCCACTCTAGTCTTAAGGAATACATAAAATTTTTAACTTTACTGTATAAATGGAATTATCAATGGTGTACTGGAGCTGGCTCATCCCTGGCTCATGAGAGCAAATTGTTGAATTTTAAGGAATCTTGCAAGCCAGGTGGTAAAGCCTCGAAAGCAGCCATAGTGGGAATAATTACACCACAGGAATTGATAAACACTACAATCAGGCCTCTCCTCTCCCCTCCTCCTCCCAGAGAACCACTTTACTAACACACCACTGATCCACATGCAAATACGTCCACAGTACAGTTAATCCTCACAAAGTGAATGCACCCACACAGGCAACACTGAGGTCATGAAAAAGAACATTACTGATACCTGCAGAAGTCTCCCTTGAACCATATCTGAATCAGTATCCCTTCACAGGTCTAAACGCTTTACAAATACTAGAAAGGAGCAATTTTAGCAATGAGGATGGAAGAAGGCAATATTAAGCGAAAGATACAACCTTGAAAATCACTTGTAAGTAGCTATGAAGGTAGGCTGGCAGAAAAAGACATGGCAAGTCATGCATCGATTTGGAAGCAGCAAGAGTAATGTGGGAAGGAAAATATGAAATTGTATTGCTGAGCAGCTACATGAGGAATTATGAGGCACATGCCTCTGTATGAGACCTGCTCAGTGTAAAACCGTATTTATGAATTAGAGACGGTTTAACATATTGTAATTCTCTTAGTGTCACCTATGATTTTTACATTGTAATCAGTAGGAACTACAAGAAAATATCAAATAACTACCACAAATAAGGTAATGCCCATCATTTGAGGACTGTTGAAAATCACACCCCACCCCTGCGCCTGACACTTTAATTCATACTGTATTTGTAAGAAACCAAATATTAAAGTTTTCCGTGATGATCCTACTTCTATGAGGAAAGCAGAGACTTCAGGGGCAGAGGACTGCATTTGACAGCAATCACGTACCATATGGCACTGGTATTAGAATTACGTTTGTAGAAAAGTGATGTATATTAAACAAAATCTGGCTTCTTTTTTTGTACCAGTGATCAGTTGCATCAAGCAGTTTTCCATTTTTTAATATTCATCTGAAAGTTGATTCTTAAAATACCAGCTTAAGTTCTGGAAAAGAATTACAGCTAGACTTGCAGGAAAAAAATGAGGAGTTGCTTCCATATAATTTTTTAAGGGGCTAAAAAGAAAAATTACATTTTACAGATAGATATGCACATGTAAGTACTGACCTCTGTCTTGTATTCACACAAGAAAGTACTCTAATGAGAATAAACTGCCCAAAAGTAATGCTCAAAGTAGCAATATTTTCAATGCAATTTTAACATTTGACTAACCGACCTTTATTGTTTTTCTCTTCATATGGATATTCATTCATCCATTTGTTCTTAGAGTCACATTGATCCTGCAAGAAAAACACAAAGACAAATGATGAGAGAAAGTTCTACAAGTTGATGTTATTCCTCCTTTGGGAAAAAAAAATACAACCTAAATCTACAGTTCCTTAAGTTCGTGATCATAGAGCTGAGGCATATCTTTTCTTCAGCTATGTGTTGTCGGCTTGTTCTTCAGCCATGAAAGGGCAAAATACAGTAGAGGAAAAAACACCAGCTATGACACTAGGACAAGATCCTGGGCACTAAATAGTGAATACCTAGGCAAAAACAAGGGAAGAAGGGAAGAGGAGAATAAAAAGAAAGGGATGCAACAGAGACAACTGAGGAGAAAATGGCAAAAAAAAAAAAAAAGGTTTGTAAGTAAATTTCCTCTATAAAAGAGAAGCCCCAAATACTCAAACTGTAACACTTGGCTTCATTATTCTTAGCAACTAAGAGAATTTAAAGTAATGCCATTTTATTGGGGAAATGATAATTTCTTTACAGTTGATAAAAATGTGCAGAATAATGAATAGAAATAAATGTAGTGGCTCCATGTCAGCCAATACCCAAGTAACTTTTAAAAAATGACCTAAATTGGCTGGGTGCGGTGGCTCAAGCCTGTAATCCCAGCACTTTGGGAGGCCACGATGGGCAGATTACAAGGTCAGGAGATCCAGACCCTCCTGGCTAACATGGTGAAACCCCGTCTCCACTAAAAAATACAAAAAAACTAGCCGGGCGTGGTGGCGGGCGCCTGTGGCCCCAGCTACTTGGGAGGCTGAGGCAGGAGAATGGTGTAAACCCGGGAGGCGGAGCTTGCAGTGAGCCGAGATCGCGCCACTGCACTTCAGCCTGGGCGACAGAGCGAGACTCTGTCTCAAATAAATAAATAAATAAATAAATAAATAAATAAATAAATAATGACCTAAATTAATATATGTCCCTTCTTTTAAAAATTAAATATAAATTAAATATTCATGTGTTTTCTAAAAGGTTCAAAATCTCCAGGACCATTAGGATCTCACCAAATCATTAAACATTATGGGGTTGGGGAGTTCTGATTATAATAGACCATTTGCCCTATTTGGATATATCTTACAAGTCTTCCTATTGATTCTCTCTCAGCATTATGTTACTTGCTTCAGAATTTCCATCTCATGAGGCAAATTTTCTTTGGCATTCGGTTGAGCCAGCTTATTAGGCACAGTTGACTTTATTTTTCATTTGGAATTACACTCAAGAGGGGACACACCCTGGAGTTCTCAGCAGCGCCCATTCTGTGCCAATGTCTATGGGCTGTAGCACTGGGCCTGGCTTCCTGTGTATGTTTCCATACATTTGAAAAGAACTCACTCACTCATAAAGGCCTTAAATAAAATGCAGCAGAGTTCACAAGCTCCATGGGCTTGACCGGTGAAGGAAACTGGCATTTAATTTTATTCCAGCTTTAAATATATATGTCTCTCTTGCTATAACAATGTCTCAAAACACGTCCCCTAATATGCACTACAGCTTTTACCAGGCATGCTACTAAAAAGACAATCCAATATTTTAATATTATAGTGGCAGACTAAAAACATTCTCTTGAAATTCAGAGTATAATTCCTCTATTTAACATGATTAAACCATAACAAGGTCTCCTTTGAAATACTTAAAAAGTCACCTAAGATACAGTGTTCTCAAAGATGTTTTATCCTTTCTAGTCTTCAAAATATATCTAATCCAATCAGTTCCAACTTCTTAGCAGAATGTTCAAGGTATGTCAAAACCTGGCTCATTATTTTTCACATGGTAGCTCTGTAATTTTTTTCATTTAATGTGCCATAGGCATTTTCTCATATTAAACTTACTAATGCTTAATCCAAAAATTTGTAATACTCCACTGAAAGAATATATCATTATTTACTTAACTTTTGCCTTATCATTTGTGACTTTTATTACGAATCACACATAAATACCCTTGCATGTAAATCTAGTGTGCACCAGCATCTCTGCTGGTCTGAATGATGCCTTTAAGCAACTAAAAAGGATGCCTCCTCTGGACAGACACAAAGAGCCTCCAATCTGGAAGAGGGCAGGGCCTGGTAAGCAGAGTCCACTGCAAACTACAACCACCACTCACCCATGCAACCTCATCCTACACTACTGCACTTAGCTGTACCAATTTATATTCCCACTAGGAGAAGACATAAGGATGAAACTGATCAGAAGTAAATTTTATAAACAAGGTAAAAGATAATGTCAAGGTTCTCACAAAACTCTGCCTTAGTCCCAAATCTTACTGCATGGCTCTTTGTGGTTTGTCATACCAACTACGTTTGCAATCTTCTACAATTTAAATTTGTATTTCTGTAGGTGTTAAAGCAGGGGAGGGCCTGATACAAAACTAGTTTTTGCTTTCCATCCAATTCAGGCTCCCAAGAGAGTGTTCAAGATTCATCTCTTGCCTTTCAGCCCCTCAAACTTTTGTAGCACAAATGAAGGAAAGAGATGAGGACACAGATTAGAGTTGAGAAGACCTGTCTGCCCCTAGTCTCAATTCTATCATCTTCTGGCTGCGTGAACTTAAGCAACTCATTCAACCTCTTTGATGCCCAGTTTTCTTCTCCAAGAAGCAAGGATAATAATAATAATACCTGCTTTATCTACCTTGCCTACTCTAATTGCAGTAATGTTTATACAGCAATCTGTAAAATGTTAATGTCATACGTGTAAGAATTACCACTTTTTAATCAACAGCCTAGATATTGAATAGGAAATAAAAAAGATTTCTCTAAATGGAGGCCACATGATAGAACAGATGCATCTCTAATTTTATTCATGCTACGGGGCCTTTAGTTTTTCCCCCCAAATCCCTATCAAAAGCAAGCCATGATATAAAATAGTAAAATGGCACATTTCCAATAACAGTTAATAGCTCATCAATTTCCAAATTAAATTTACTTAGCTCTGCCAAATAGGTTTCTGAAATTATCCAGTAAATCTTCCCAAAGCACAGAAGTTTTAAAGGCCAGTGGCCTCATCAAAATGCTCATGACGCATGGTTTTGGTCCTCATTTTCCTGGCTTCAAAAATGTTTCTCAATTGTCATTAGGTGAAGAAAAGCAAAGGACTGGTCGCTTATTTCAATATGAAAAACATGAAAAATGGCAAGGCATAAAATATTACACTTTCAAAAGTATTTTAGGATTACTTTTTAATGAAAATATTGCTGCCTGGAACCATGGGTAAATACTCTTGGTTTTAGAGGAGAGACTGGAGAAATTCCACTTACACCTGTTTCTCTTTATTAGCTGAAAGCCATAGAGAATGATTTTTAAATTCTTTCCTTTCTCTTTTTCTGTCTTGAAATTTCCACATTTGATCACTCAAGTTCCTTTATAATTCAAAGACAGTACACTCTGGACAACAGAAGTGACCTTGGCCATAATGAAAGTGAATGTTATCCACCTTAACAAATAAGCAGTTACTCTGTCATAATTACCTCAGAGTACAGGCGTTATATTATACTACAGTAGCAGATGGCTTGCTCTTCATCACATCTTAAATGATCTATTATGTTCTCAGTCTTTAAAGGTTAGTGTTTAATACATTTTAAATGTATTAAAATAGACCCATAAGTATACTTGTTGCTAGATCCTCTGAGAATCCCTTTATGTATCTTTAAATAGAGACAGAGAAACACACTAGACATCTAACTAGCCAGGGATTCCACTCTCTGCCCAAAGGTAATTTAGTTGCTGTTTCGAGTAAATTGAACGGTGGTGCTGATACAGTAATCTTATTTGGAATTCTGTCTTCCAGATTCAGGTTTACAAATCACTGCTTCATTAGTTATGATCTTGTGTTTTCCAGCACCGATTTAAAAAATCAACTAATAAAGGTTTATATACATATTCAATTCAGTTACCATAATTTTTTTTTTTTTTTGAGACGGAGTCTCGCTCTGTCGCCCAGGCTGGAGTGCAGTGGCGCGATCTCGGCTGACTGCAAGCTCCGCCTCCCGGGTTTACGCCATTCTCCTGCCTCAGCCTCCCAAGTAGCTGGGACTACAGGCGCCCGCCAGCATGCCCGGCTAATTTTTTGCATTTTTAGTACAGACGGGGTTTCACCGTTTTAGCCAGGATGGTCTCGATCTCTGCCCTCGTGATCCACCCACCTCGGCCTCCCAAAGTGCTGGGATTACAGGCATGAGCCACCGTGCCCGGCCAGTTACCATAATTTTTAAAGCCAACTAGGGAACTTGACAGGCAGGCTTTGTGCATGTCAGTCTGTGATGTTATGTAACAGGTCCAAGTTTGCCTGGCTCTGCGCATCAAGGTTTCTACCACATAAGTTGCTTTTTTTCTACTTAAAGTTATTTCTGTTTCATCTGTCACAGTGAGTTATCTTGGGAACTAAAAATATTTGAAGGTTAATCTAAATATTTCTGGAGATAAATGCAAATCTAAGTGCTACGTTTTCATAGCTATTTTGACTAAAAATGAAAAGTAGCTAAAGACACAAAGAAGAATGCTTGTTGCTAGGTGACAGGTGACACCTACTGTATCTCTTCTGAACTTGTACAGCATGACACATCTTACTACCGAGAAGACGTACGTGGATTTCCACTGGACACACATAATTCTCCACAGAAAAGCAAACTAGAGTTTTTAAATACAGGCCACAGTTAGCAAATCATGGCTATAGGAAAAGAGACGCCTCTCACAATAGGAGAGAATAGTACTTTACTTTCCATTTCAGGTACACATTTTCTAAGTAGAGTCTACACAGGAAACACATTTAACTTTCACAATTCATGATTAAGCATTAAAAAGTGTTAACAGACACCACTTCAATTAGGGTAGGTGGAGTCCATAAAAGCATTTTTCTCCTATAAGTAATCCAATGCTCACTAAATTTAGTAACACAAGGTCATCATAGTAAAGATCTCACAAGTTAAAAAAAGAAAGCACAAAAAAACGTCTAAGTAAGATTTCCTGGACATATTTTATAATTATACACCTACTTTCTAGCATATATCCCT